CTGTAACCACCACACCGGTGCCAGCTCCGGGAACAGCACCGGCCTCTGCTCCATGCGCCGGGGGAAACCTAGAGTTGGAGGCAAATGGGGGTTTGGTTTCGTAACGCTTGTTCCCAACACGGGCTGTCGTCGTAAGCCCCCCAGGAGCACATCCCACGGCACTGCCCTTCAGACTTTCCTTGCAAATCTATCTTTGGAAAAGCAGAAAAGACTCACTTAATTCCCACTGGAAAGAGGATGCTGGGCTTTTCTTCTTTTTCTTCCCCCCACTCTCACTAATATCCTTGCTTTCTTTTTCCCAAAAATGGTTAAAATTTATCTCCCTGTGCCAGACAACTTTTTTCTGCTCAGCTACTTTTGGTATTTTGGGTTGTTTAGTGGCACCATTCTCGAGATTGAATCCATCTGTTCGCTATCCGCTAAGGGTGCTCTGGGCTCTCAGCAGAATGTCAAGTGTGCCATGGGAAAAGAGCACGAGCATCGGTTAGGCTGAACGAGGATCAGGGTTTCTTTCTGTTCCCATTCCATGTGATGCCTGGTTTAAACCACACAGCAGAAAAATAAAAATAAAGCAGTGAAATGGATTTGAAAAAACAGTGACCACTACTAAAAAAAACCCCTAACTACAGCCCCTGCCAAACATACAAATTGCAGGAATTACATTTTTCCAGTCATTTTCAAGGAATAATTTCTAATAGACATGATGTTTTTATTGGCCACGGTTCTCCTTTCATTTCTTAACAAATAAAATAAAAATGAAATAATCTTGTGGGTGAATTTATTGTGCCTGGAAGCGAAGAGCTAATAGCACTGGCTGGAACCCAGGAAAGTGCCCAGGCATCACAGGGATAAATTGCCAGGCTATTTCTCATGGGTCCCTGCTTCCCCTCTGCCTGCCACTGAACACCAGGCTCATCTCTTCTGACCCAGCCATAATTCCTATCTGCTCGTTGTCCTTTTGCGACTGCCACTGAGCCGAAAACCCTGCTCCTGCCTGCGGTGCGGTGGCCAGGGCAGCGTCACTGTCCCAGCACTGGGGATGGCACGGACGGGGCTGAGTGGGACCCGCTGCCGTGCCGCTGGCTGGGATGTGGTGGACATCCGAGGTAATCCCCCGGCTGAGCGGTAGCATCCCCAGGGATGAAAGACTAGAAATGTAACTCTGTTATCACCGGAAACTGCAAAAATACAACAAAATAGATGGTTGTCGCTATCCATTCTCCACAGATCCTGGATTATATCAGTCTGAAACAGTAAAAGTACTGATATTAAAAGTGGATGGAGTTAGTGTCTCATAAACAAGTGTGTGATTATCTGCCCTCCAGGAACTGAGATATTTCTAAGACTACTAATCCTGTCCTGGCACTTGTTCAAGATACCGGTAGTGTTGTGAGACCAGCCCAGCTGCTCATCAGGCCGGGCAACTCAACTCCAAACATGGATTGAGCTCTTTGGATTTAATCTCACATACTATTAACAGAAAATTCAATATTTTCTATTGCCTGTCTTTTGAGTAAAAAAAATAAAATTGAAGTGGCAAGTGCAGCAGAAGACAGCCTAAAAGGCTTAATTCAAAGCTTCAATATCAGACTCCTAAGGAAGAAAAACACAAGCTGGGCTCAGATCAAAATTTCACCTAGACCTGCAGGCATTTGGATCCCTGGGCCTCGGTTTAATATGCACGTAAATCCTCAAATTCCCCCGGCTTCTGCTCTCAGCCCAGCTAAATCCCAGCCTGAGATTCCCACTATTTCAAGGGAGAGCTACGAAGGGCTTCATGGATTCAAATCACTTCACAGAGTGAGCCTGACCCTTGCCCCAGCCTGAAACCTCGTCAGGGCTCCGAGCTGAACACGTGCCAGTGTCCCTCCGCTCCTCCCCATCCCAGCGAGGCCACGGAGCAACCGTGCTCAAAATCCCGGAGGAAAACCGTGTTGTGCTTTCAGGCTGCTCCGAAACCCTGGTAACAAAACCTCATTAGGAAAACAAAGCTCCGGAGGGTTTTGTGGTCCCTTTTAGCCTCTCGTTTCTTTTCGTCTTGTTTTTAACTTCTAATGATGTCACTGTTGAATTTACAGATTTTTTTTTTAAAGAAAAAAATCCTGAAGAATTTGAGCTCAGAGAGAAACTTCAAAGGCTCCTGCGCGTAAAGATCCATCTGTTCCCTTGCATGTTCATCTGAGCTACTGGAACTGAAACCCTTCTGGGGGAGTTTGTTTTGCTGTCCCTAGATGTGCCCACACGATGGGCAATTAGTCTAGGCAGGAAGTTCAGCGAGGACTGGCGGGGCTGTGTCATTCAAACGTGCTTTTAAAAAGAACAGGAAATGTACTTCTTTTTTTTTTTTTTTTTTGGAAGGAACCTCTATGATTTCCATACAATGACGTTGCGTTTTGAATTGAGTGGATTTTGGTTAAAAAATGATGAAAGCGCTATGAAATTAGTGCCTTGCAAAGGCTTGCTCACTAGACGGCTGATACTACTTCAACTTGTTGGTTCGTCTTTCAAATTGGATTTAGAAGACAAGCAGCTGAAGCCACTTGAAAATGGATTTAGGGGCCACTTGAACTTTCCATCGTGGATGAACCCAATTTTGTTCTACATGACAGCAAACCCTCTGTGGTATTTTACCAGCAATGGAGGCTGCTGTGCTTCTAATCCCGAACACAAAGAAATGGAAAGACTTTAAATAGCTGAGAGGAGAAAACGAACCGTCCAGGGCAAGAAGATCCTTCTTAGACCTGACCTTTCCCCTTGCTTTATAGGAAGTTTGTTATTTACTTCACACTAGGAGCAGAGAGTTACTTGCCTCAAAGAGTTCACAAAAATGTTGGAAAACAGCCACAAAAATTTAGCACCCCAGGTCTAAAATCTACACCCTTGCCCTTTACCAACACTGATAATCATTAATAAATGATCTCTAACTTGCCATTAAAAATTAAAATAAATGAACTTGCTCTCAGCAGCAGGGGAGTAGACTACTACTGCAAGGCTCAGCAGGCAGAGAGCCAGCTGGGGTGGCTTTATCCCCCTGGTTTTCCCAGGGGTGAGCTGGCAGAGCCCGAGCTGCAGCCGGCCAGCCTGGCAGCGTGGCTGCGGTGCGGTCGCAGGCGATACTTACTTGGGACCCTGTTAATGGCTCGTAGCGGCCGAAGTACCCGGACAGTGCGGATCGCAGACAAACTCACGTTGTGTCCGTCCAGAGAATACTCCATCATGCTGCGGGGGAAAGAGGAAAGGCGTCAGGATGTGGGATGCTCGGTCTCCGGGCACGAGGGTGTGGGGGCTGCCCGGGGTTGGGGTGTCACTGCCTGAGTGCCTTGGGAGCAGCAGCCCAGGCTTGCAAAACCACCCACTCTGTGTTTGCAGCTCATAACGTGCATCGTGCTGTCAACAGGGGATATGAGGGATATTTCAGGCTCTAAGGGACTGAAAATACCCACACGAGCAGCGATGCTGCAGGGGTCAGCAGGCAGACGTGCTCCCGGGCTAACGAGCTGCAGGCACAGGTAACACACAGGAAAGCAGGACTCGGCATCACGAGGAGCTGCAAAGTCAGGGCCACAGCAGTCGGGACAGAGGGGGAGCCCCCACCTATCTGCTCAGCTCCCCCAGCTGTGCTGCTCTCCCCTTCCATTAGCTTATCGTGCTCCGGCCGGTGGCGCATCTGCAGCCTTCTCGGGGAGATGCTGCACAACTCCACGCAGCTCAAAGTCAATAAGATGTTTCTGATATTATACCCCCTACTAGCACCCCAGCGTATTTTCACGCCAGCTCATCTCTCCCCCTATGACAAAAATGTGAATAACCAAGCCGACAAATGACATTAAAGTAGTTTGGTTTCCATTTTATTATTAAGAATAGGGAACATTTTCTTTTTCATGCTCCGTCTCCATTTCACATAAACATTTCTCTCCCAGGCTGGGAAGGATGTTAAGTCAAGTCAGTTTTCTTGCTCTTTTATAGCAATGAGTGGCAAATGTGTGTAGTGTTGTTTTTTTAATGGGGTTATGGCTAGTTAGCATGGCTGTAATTACAATTTATGAGTTTGACTACGGGGAAGCACTTGTAAATATGTCACAAATCTCTCACCACGCCTGTTCAAATAACATAACAGCATCAAAAGCAACCCTGTGAGTAAGCTATTGGATCCCATGGAGAAAGAGCTTTTGTTTTATTTTTTGGGTGTTTTTTTTTTTTTTTTAAATAAACAAGCAGATATGGAAGGAGGAAGGGAAATATAAGCTGAACTGCTGGAACCAGGCACTTCAGAAGCTTCAGTGGAAAAAGAAATTTTCAATTGAAGCATCCTGCAGCCAGGATGGACCAAAATCGTTATGTGCCATCAAGAAGCAACAGCTGAATGGATTTCAGGCAACAGCAGAGCGAAGTTTGGTTTCGGGCTAGCCTTGCTCAATGCATCGTTGCCCGTTGTGCCCTTGCTCTGCTCTGCCCGAGCCTTGCACTTCGTATTTGATGCCTTGCCCTGCTCTACAAAGTTTAATTGGGAATATCTAGATGTTCTGATGCTTGCTTCTCTTTTGTCTTTGTCCTGAAGCTGCTTGTTGTAACTCTGCAATACCACTGGCATTGCACTGAGGTGACTTTGGCCCGTTAGCCTTAATTTGCCGTGGCGAGGCTCTGGTGTTTTTGAGCTAGTTTTAGTGATAACCTTCCAGAGATATATTTTTTTTTCCTGAAGTAGTTAGTGAGTCTTTATAAATCAAAACCACCTTAAAGCTTGTATGTAGGAACTGAGCCGAGCATGATGAATAGCTTTAAAACTCAGCACGGCACGAAAACACGTTTTAAATCTAACGTATGTTCATTAAGCAGCCCGGAGCCGCATGAAGGACCACACAGCAGGAAAGCCATCGGAAATGCCCGTTCACACCTGCGTCGAGGGGCCTGGAGCCAGCACCAGGTGTCTGCTCTAAACAGACCTTGCAGGAATAGACAAAGCATTGTTTAAAGTCCCTGAAGTGAACAGCACCAAAGCCCGAATCTGTTTGCTGGCGTGGTCCCAATCCAGCACACTCACAATTTATCGGGTGACTGAGTAAGTGGATTTTAGTGTAACTGATACAGTTTTTGAACTACTAATGGCATGTAAAAGGAGTACGAAATGCTCCAGCGGGAGCTGGTGGTGTACTCCAGAGAGCACGTGCAACTATTAGCGTGTTAAAGGGCCAGCTCCTGGGGCCTCACTTTTACTTGGCCTTTGGAGTTTCAATGGGGCTGATAAAAGACGAATAATCCAGGATTTGGGCTAGGAAACAGACTTTCTGACCCTGATACTTTGGACTTCCGTGATACTCCATTTAGGATGTGAAAGTAAGTTTGGAGGGGGATCTACATCACCCACCGAAGCTAACCTGAACCACTTGATGGATTCCATACTGGACCTTCTACAAGCAGTGAAAACATCTGAAACCTTCAAGAAAAAAATCAAAGGTTTCTTTGCCAAAGCCAATCTTGGAGTCTTGTTCTCATGTCACACTTGTAAACCAAGTATACCCTGGAAATCCCCAACAGAAAACTACTAGAGCTGGAAGTTTTGGGTATGCAGGGACCAGAGGGCTGCATGGACTGGCACTTGGTAGGTGATCCTCTACAGCCTCTGGGTACTGGAAAAAAGGAGACACAAGCATTTGTGATGTCTTCTACCATGAACAGTTTCCAGTCCTTCAGCTGTCAAGTTAAAGATGTCCAAAGCATATCATATGAGCCTGCAACGTCTCCAGGGACTGGATGCACAAGAAAACTCTGGTTTCAGCTCTTGTGGACAACATTTTTGATGCTCGGGAAATGCCTTCAACTTGGCTGCTGGACAGACTGAAAGGTTGTAAGCTCCATTCGGTCTGAAATTTTCCAGGGTACATTTCTCAGGCGAGCAAAACATGAAAGGGTTTTCAGTGCTGGAACAAACTTCAGACACAATCTGTTGCTAGAGGCAGAAGATATGTTTATTTTGTAGTTTCCCTGCTTACCCTCCGCTTTCTTTGGTATACTTGCAAGTAAGCCAAATCAGCTTATTTGAGGAGACCGAACAGGACAAATGAAGCAGGCAGCACTGCCTATCATTTGTTTCCCTTATCAGAAAAAGTCTCATAACTACTTCATCACATCCATCCACTTGCTGGAAAAAGCAACTCTTGTTATTCCAGTAGCGTACTCCCTGCTAAAACCACCTCCAGTTTTAGGAGCAGACACTGGATCAAATGGTGGCGGTGGGAGAGGTGAAGAACCTCAGCCCATCACGCAGCTTTTCCTTGCCCTCCACCAGCATTTGGGGCCAGCCCAGCTCCCAGCCCAGCCTCTCTTCTGAGGGACGGGAAATAATGTCACGGGTATGGCTCGAATACACCGAAATCACCTGGGGATGGCCCAGGATCAGCCAGAGAAGGGGCCCTTCCTCTTCTCATCTTCAGCCTGAGTAATGCCAGACTGGCAGCGGGGGTTCCTGGCGGGGTGTCCTGGTGCTTCTGCTGTTTTCCTTCTTCTCAAACATATGCCAGCCACGGAGGGTGGGGAAACGCCCCAGAAAACTACCAAATTGACTCACCAGCCACCTTCCCCCTCATCCCAGGTGCTAACAGAGATCCTGGTGCCAAACCTGACTCCGAGGTATGAGCAGCGGGCTCAGCCTTTCTGCTTGCATGGGATGTTTTATTCTCCCACTTCACTGGAACAATCTGTTTGATGATGTGGGGAACCTCTTCTCGCCCATCAGGAAAGCTTATCCCACAGGTTCAATGCGGGGAAACACTGTCGGCACATTGGCTATGGATGGCAGATTTCTGATCCCGAGTTCCCCCTGCAACCACAGCCTTGCTTTTCCCCTACTACTTCTGGCTTAAACGCTGCAGCAGCTTTGGAACGAAAAAATAATTAACTGCTTTTGTTGTCCCTGCTGTTCTTTCCTGGGCTGTAACCACATACGGGTTCAAAGGAAGCTCTGCTCAGGAGAGCTCATGTTTTATTCAAACCGGTAAGGCCATTCCTAATTGTATTCCAGACAAATAACATGGAGCAAACCAAAATTCCATTAGTGCAGTGAAGATTGTACATCACTAACGTAAGGGTAAAAATGCCCCAACATATTACAGGAATGTTCTAATTAACCCCAGGCTGGTCATTATAAGCCCAGGAATATAGAAAGAAGGCAGAGCTCTGTAATTAAAGCAGTCTGTCCCTTTCTAGGGTATACTAAGCAGGTAAGAGAGCCCGGGGTTTCTAAAATCCATTTATTTATAGAAAGAACTTTCAGACTTGCCAAGCTTTTAGTCCACTCAGTTTTTCCCTATGGGTGTGAGGGAACTGGTGTCAAAAGCACCCGATCTTCCTTATATCTGTCTGTTAACACATCCTGCACAAATAAGCAGCTGTGGGAGATGGTATTAAAATGTAAACTGAGAGAAGTTTACAGGAGGCATTTGCACTTGTAATTGGGTCAACTTCTGGCCAGCTTCTTCCACTGGGATTTCAACCTTCTGAACCAGATTTTTGGGCTAGATTCTTCTTTTCTGGCCAATTTCTGCCTCTCTGTCTCAGTCTAATGGTGTCACATAGCAGGAGCGGGGCTGAGCTGCTGTGTGTTTTTTCCACCTGAGACAGCAGTCTTAACCGCGAGCATTGGGACATACCGGCCATCGCAAGGACGAGATCAGCGTGCACTTGATTTGACAGAGACGACACTGGCAAAAGGATTGCTACTGAAAACCTTTTGCCCTGACATTCATACCCCACCCCATAATCCGGTGCGGTTGCCAGAGGTGAAACCAAATGAGACTTGTGAGACTTTGCTTTGGCTTGAGCCTGGCAGCTTTCACAAGACATTATGAAAACCAGCCAGGACAATCTACAGATTTGGCTCTCTGGGGTTTTCTTGCTTTCACTGTGAAGAGTAAATTTATGAGGTTTTGTTACTGACCCCGCCATCACGATGAAGAAGTCCAGGCGATTCCATGTATCTCCAAGGTAACACTTCTGCCCGAAGATCCCCAGAGCCACCATCTTGATGACCATCTCCACCGCAAAGAAAGCGAAAATGAAGTCGTCAAATGCCTAGAGACCAGTAAAAGATTATTACAGTCAGTTCTGCTGCGCTCTGTTATCAGGAAAAGGGAAAGGGAAAGCAGAGACAGAAGCGCTCCCACTGCAGAGGCACTCTGTACACCCTGGCAGACTCTGCAAGGCAAAGCACTGGTACCAAAGTGCCACCTACCGAACTCAGAAATAAAACCTGCAATACCTGATGGGTGATGGCAAGCCCTGAACACAGCTCCTGGGTCAGTCTACTGCCTGGGAAGCATTATCAGCTTCTACTGATCTACTGACAAAGATACAAGGACATGGCTCTTGTACAGGCTGCCTATGTTTCTTGGCGTTTAAAGCCTACGCGTTCAACAGCAGCTGGTGGTTTGGTCCGTGAGGTCTCAGTAACTTGGAGTGGAAGCTGCGTGTCCAGACTAGGCAGCTCATACCTCCTAGAAAGACTTTGTCCCATCTAATCCAGGGGGATGTGCTTCATTGCTGATGCCTTCATGGACTCTGAAAGGGACCAGGTTCCTACCCACAGACCCAGATACAGCTGGGAGTGAACGTGCACACCAAGCAGAGGCTGATGCAGGAGCTATAAGGGCAGTTCTGCTGCATGTGAGGAAGGACCGGAGCGGTTCCTTGTGGTGCAGAGGCTCAGGGCATCCTGCTGGCAAGCCTGCGTGCCCACGAAGGTAAAAATTTTGGGTTTTAGATTACTATGAAAACAAAAAGAGAAAATAAAGGTGTGCAAATTAATCCAGTGATGCCCTATAGGATATGCTTCAGCCTTTACTTAAAGAATGACTTCTGTAGGGTGGTGGGGACTTGGACAGCTGTAATTTCTCCAGCCTTCTTGGAGGCTAAATGTGCATGCATGAAATGTGGATGTAGTTGAAAATACTGTGAAGTGGACTCTGTTGAAAATACTCTTCTACATGTTGCCTGTAAACTTGAACATCAGGAGATACAGATTGCTTTTAAATCATGTGCAGAGGCTTTCCTGTTTTGAATAACACACTTGATAAAGCACAGGAACTTCTCGATCTACAGACATGACTGCTGCTGTTCAAACCAATGATCATACTGTTTGGTATTGTGTCTCTGGCACTTTCAATTTGAGGTCTGAGTGGATTAATGGTAAATTATGAGAGCATCAACATAGCAGCCAAGTTCCCACTATGCATCCACGTACCTTTGCGTGGCTGTGTGCAAGCACCATCTTCTTTGGCTGTTTTATCAACCAATCTTTCCCTTGATAAACTACACCGAAGTTTTGCTCGATTATTTCAGTTCATTTAATAACTGGCATCCGAACGCCTCCATAAAGGAGTTCAGGCTTTTCTACCTCATGTTCTGGCTTCCATTCCCTCCTGCAAGCTGTGACAGGGTGAGGGATAACGATGGGTTTACTTACAGCCCTTTTCTGCCTGCAAACCCTTCAGGATAATACTTCGGGTTTTGCAAATATATGTTGTAATCATTAAGCCGCTACTAGAAACCAAATTCAGTGCCTGGGCTCCTTGCAAATGTATGAGTGTCTATTCTGAGGAGAACAGACCATGCAAGCCGTATGATTGCAACCTGATTAAATGATGAAAAAAAGGAAGCAAATAATGAGCATTCAATAAAGTCACCTCCTCGTCCAGGCAGGATTCCCTTTGTCTGCCTGGACATTTTGGCAGGGACAGGCATCCTCCAAGGAAAGTCCCACGTGGGTGAAAACATGCAGAAAGACAGCAGGCACATGGAGTGTAACCTTTCAGGTGAGATCGGACACTTTCCGATGGGCTCTCTGGGGGCAGCTTAGCCCACAGCCGCCTGCAGTGTGGCATTTGCTGGATGCTGCTTCACACCAACCCTGAGCCTGACCCTCTGAGACGATCCCTATGCTGGATGCCTCTGGTGGCAACAGTTCCTCCAAAATCAATCTCATTCCATAACAAACCTAGTGGGTTCTCAATTCATCTGGTTTACTTGGCTCTGCATTTAACAGATCCTCTTCTAAGGTTGAAAGAGGGTTTGATGATCAGCTCTGCTATTCCTGGCATTTGCAGGCAGTTCTGGACCAATCTTTGAGAGAGGCAGGAGAGATTGGTTGGAAGGATCCCACTGGCCTTTCCGCATGGCTAAAACACTCAAAGGGAAGTACAGCAGCAGATCTGTGCGGGGTTCGAACAAACCAAGCCTGTTACACTACCACATGTCGGTAGTCCCTGCCTAGGTTGATGTAATGCATTAGAAACAAGGGAAGTTGGTTCCAAGCCTGAGAACCGAGTTGCTGCAGGAAACCCAGCGCCAAGGTGCAGCCCACACACCAGATGCTGCCGGGATGTGCTTCCAAAACGAATCCTGTGGGCATATGGCAGCGAGGGGATTGCCAGGACACAGCGAGGGATGAAGTGACAAGCATGATGCCCCACTAAGCTTGGGGTAGCCAACAAGGGTCTGTGAGCTTTGTACGCGTATGCGTTTCCCAAAGGTCAGTTATCCCGGCACGTGGCAATGCTGCACTTCAGCTGGTGGGCTCTGCTGCGGAGGAGAAGGCACGGGCCTGTCCTGTGCTTTTTTGTGCACAAAGGAGGGAATGAAATTGCAGAGTCAGCGGTGTCGTACTGCACAGATCGGACTGCAGCAATCCAAGAGATGCCAGCAGCGAGCTGACTGGGGCAGAACAAACTGACTGGGAGCAAGAGGTTCCCTGTGGCATTGGCCATCCTGTAATTAAATGTGTTTCAACACTTCCAGTGGGAGCTGGATGCCCAGTTTTGAGTCCCCCTACCCTTACTGGTTGTGTAGAGAAAGGATCTTGCTGGGGTAAGTCCAAATCAGTCAGCCTTCGGGTCTCACCTAGGACCAGGGCAGCAGGTCTCCTCGGAGGACAGACTTTGCATTGGAAAAACCATCCCTATGGGAAGGGCTTTCATGGCTGGATCCTGGGGAAAAGGCACAAGATGGGGGTCCCAGCTCCCGAGATGGCCACCCCACCGCACCCCGCACATCCCAGGCAAGCGGGGCAGCACGGGATCCTTACCTCCAGGATGGTGCACCGCTCCGACTGGCACTCCACGTCCTCGCAGGGCTGGAACATGCCCAGGGTGACGCAGTTCAGGAGGATGACCAGCATGCTGATGTGCTCGAACCAGGTGAGAGCAGGGCGTTAAGGAGAGCACAGGCTTCAGTGGCCACGGGGAGGGGGGAAGCTGAAGCAAAGCGCTATTTACATGTAAAAAGCCTTCACTTTCTCTTACAGGACTCACCAGTGCTCAACTGCACTAACGTTAATAGTTTCAAAGTCGTAAGTGGTGATTTGCATCAGAGCAAAACAGGCTCAGAGCTTATGATTACTGCTGCTGGTATGACTATTAAAAATAATAAAAAAAGAATTTGGGGAACTAAACAGGAGTTTCACAAATTAAGCATGAATGAGAGAACTGTTCTTAGGAAAAATAATTGGAAACATCTGTGTATAAATAAACCTTTACGCTTTTCAAACACACAACTGTGCGTGAGCAAGGGATCACGGAGAAAGAAGCACATAGACATTGTCTTATTTCTGATAACAACATTTCTCCTGCTCTGGAAACCTGAACAAAAATTCCTACTGTATTTATCCCTGCTGCTTTTAGAAGTATTTTATCCAGCATTTTAGCAGTTCAGCATAATATTTATCACAGCATAACATTAGGCAAGTGCAGGGCTACAGTCTCAAACTACTTTTGCACACACACTCTCATTTATCCAGACTAAAAGAAAAAAGAGAAATCAGCGGGGTCAGGTCCTGCAGCTTCCCTAAAACCTGAACCCAACCCACTTCTTGTTTTAGAGAGGGCTTTAATTTGAGAATTCAGAGCTAGGAATCCCTTGGAGCCCATGCTGGGGACCAAACACGTCAGACTTGGAAACCCACTTGTCTAAAATGGAGAGTTAATTTTCTTCCTAGTAGCAGGTCTAGTGCTGCAGTTTGGATTTAGGATGAGAATAATGTTGATAACACACCGATGTTTTGGTTGTTGCCAGGCAATGCTTACACCAAGTCAAGGACTTTTCAGCTCCTCTCACCGCCCTGCCAGCGAGGGGCTGGCGGTGCACAAGAAGCTGGGAGGGACGGCAGGACAGCTGACCCCAACGACCAAAGGGATGTTCCATACCATATGATGTCATGCTCCGTATATGACTGGGGGGAAGCTGGCTGGGGGTTTGGACTGTGGCTCGGGAATTAGCTGGGCATGAATGGTCTGCAGGTGGTGAGCAACTGTGCTGTGCATCACTTGGTTTGTATATTCTATTATAATTATCTTCCTTTTCTGTCATATTAAACTGTCTTTATCTCAACCCACAAGTTTTGCCTTTTTTTTTTCCCCAATTCTCTCCCTCTCAAGGGGAAGAGTGAGCAAACGGCTGTGTGGATGTTTCAGCTGCCTGCTGGGTTAAACCACAACACCCCGTCAGTGATGCAGGAGGAGCGGGAGCAGGAGAAGCTCCTGGCCACAGCCCCAGAAGACTTGTGCCTCACTGAAATACCAACGTTGGTTTATTTTAATTTCTCCCTCCCTTCAATGACTGCTTTCTCATTTTTGACATCTTTAGGGGCTGTTTGGATCCCCTTCCCTTACACCTAATTAGGAACAGAGCGGTAATCCTGCTCCATAGAGAAAACAGCCCGCATCAGACCCAAACAAAGCCCAACCCGTGGCCATATCCTACTTACAATATTTGCATTGCTTGATGGGATTCATGTGGAACTCCCTGTAAACAGGGCTCCTGCGCTATTCCCAGGGTGCCTGCAGTTGCATTCATTTCTCTTATTATACTTGCAGATATTTTCTTTTCCTTTAAAGTACAAAAAATAAAAGCATGTGGATTTTGAACTGTTAAAAAAAGGTGTAACTATGCTGATGAATTAGGTCTCCTGCTTCTCCCAGAGGAGGGGAGAGCACTGGCCCAGTACCTGGTTGCTCCAACCTTGCTCCGTCCTGCCCTGGGACAGTGACCCTGGGCTCATGCCGGCTCCATCCCCTGCGGCTCCAGCAGTGGGGAAGCTCCACTCCTACACTTTTCCTCACCACAAGATGATAAAGCTTTTGAATCCACCATCCACCAAGGGTTGCTGGTTGCTTTACTGCTGTCCATCCTGCTCACCACTGCCTGAGCCCTTGTTTCTAGCAGAACCCGTCAAGAATTAGATTCTGTTTTCTGTTAGAAAACACTGATATGTCAAAAGTGAATTGTTGGTGTGGACCAGTTTTTATGGCAATGTTCAGTTAAGACAGACTTTTTTGCATAAAACGTGGGAGAGTCTATCCCCAGAAAGACAGAGGCACAGCCCATTGCTGAAGGGAATCCTCAGTACGGGAAACCCTGAGGGATGCCGGGGTCTCCCACACCCCGGGCTCTTCTGGCTTCTGGGTTGGTGCCTGTTTGCCGCTCAGATCACTCTCATCATGATACAAAATGACAAACATTTCAAAAAGAAAATTTCCTGAGCAGAAAACTTGCCTGGCCTCTGGACCTGGCATCTGCCCCTGATGTTTGATTTCAGCAGTGACTGAAGCCTAAGGCTGAAGATGTTTGCAGGGTAAAGCCCCCGTTCTGCTGTGCTACCCTGGACCTTTGTTCAGGTGCTCTGCTCATCAGATCTCTAAAAAACTTCTTTTCCTTCTTTCTTTCTTTCTTTCTTTGAAATGATCTAATTGTGGTTTTTATGGTTAAATAATCACCTGCATGAGAAGAATTGTCACTGGAGTTGAAACGAGTGTCCCCATTCCTTAAAGACAGGCAGAGCCACTGCTCTCTTGTCCCATCAGACACCAAAACCAAATTCGGTGTCTTTCAGGACGCCAGAAGAGTTGTTTTAATTTTCTAACAGAAAAAAAAGAAAGACTCTCCCCTAGCATTGTGGTCACAGACATTTAGAGGCTGTCAGCGTAGTCAGCAAGGGTCAGCCACTGCTGCGAGATGGAAAACGGCAACACTGCCACACGTAGATAGAAAAGAGACAAAAGAAAACTTGTGTTGCCTCTGAAGAAAAGGCTGAAAAGGTGGAACAAAACCCACTGTAGGGAAGGGTTTTGCTTTGGCTGGAGAACGGACTGGAGGAGGGAGGAGGCCCCTGCTCAGGGCTCAGAGGTTTCCTGGGGATGCTCCTGTCCTCCCTCATCCCCGAACCCTCCCGAGGGGCTGCGGCTGGAGGCTCTGAGCTGAAAGGTCCTGTCCCTGCGCAGCCCCTCCAGCCCATCTTCTCCTCCTGTGCTTGCGGCTCCCTCAAAGGCATTAAGCTCCTGCCCTATTTATTTTCACATCAGATTAATGACAGTGAAATCCCTAATTTGAAAGCGGGATTACCCTGAGTGCTCTGCCCTAATGGGACTAATCCTTCCTCCCTCTGGTGCACAGATATTCAAGGGAATTTCCATTCACTCCCCTCTCCTTGCTCCTGGCTCTGGAGGAGCCCCGAAAGCTGTGATTTAACCCCTGGCCAGCTGCTTTTCCAGAGCCCCCCGCAAAGCCATCCGGCCTTCAGCAGTCACGTGGAGATGCCCCAAATCAAAGCCCCTGGGCAGCGGGAGGTGATGCTGCTTTGCAGGGTGGGATTATAGAGGGCACCTTTTCACAGCATCCTTCCCACGGACCCCGGGCCAGTTCAAAATGCCCATCAAGAAAGAAAATCCTCATTCTGATAATGATGAGAAAACACCCAGAAGAGAAAAAGAGAGAGGAAAAGGTGAAAAAAGCCCGAGAGCAGCCCAACACCGGGTTGTGCCAGCACAAATAGCAAAGATGTGGCTGGAGACAGAAGTCCCACGGCACAGAACGGCCTCGTGGGTGACCCTGCAGCATTGCCACACACCCTGCCCGGCTTTTTTGCAACCAGGAGGTCAAAGAGATTGAGGGATGGGAACGCCAGACTCAGCCATATGGGGCTCCTGCTCACACCCTGAGCAGCACTGGTGCTCATGCTGCTGGAGCTGGGACGGGACTGGTTCAGGACTGGCTCGGGACCCTCCTGGTCCTCAGCAGCAGTGGTGGCTGCGACCTGCTAAAACCTAAAACTGTGACTGTGCAAAAACGGGTACTTCTGAGTTACCATGGAAACTGCTGCTCTGGAGGCCACCGAAGCACCACCCAGTTTAAAAGCAGCCACCTTCGCGGCTAGGAGATTTGAAAAGAAAAAAATGCAAAGAGGACATCTAGACTAACCGCTGGAGGCAAAGATAATTGCAAAAGATTTGCTTAATATTTCTTCCTCTGACACAAATTCCAGGGTGACGACATCTCAAGTGTATCTGGGCTGAGCTCAAATTCCCTGGGCACCCTTCGGGCAGGAGCTGGGGAGCAGCAGAGCCCTGCCCGCCCAGAGGGACGGCTCCCGGCCACACAGCACCACGCTGCAGGATCGACACAGTCTCTTACACTAAAATCTAGCCTTGAGTTTAGAAGTGGCAACACAGAAACCAGGCTCTGCCCCAAAATGTCGTTGGGCCCACCTGCTGTTAGCGCAATGGCTGATGCTGATGCTCTCTGGCAGCTTTTCACAGGGTTTTACTGGAATCACCTCCAGGAAAAGACCAGTGGCTTGAGGATGAAGAGCTCTGGTTGCCAGAAGATGCCTCAGCATGGGCAAGATCCGCTTTTCCCGCTGACCTCTGCCGTGCCAGTTTAGCTGGTGAGGCCTGGACTGGATTTAAAAAGAGAGATGGGAATGCAAGGGGTTGTTGAAGCAGTTGCTCAAGCAAAGCACAAGTGTTTCCAGCAGTGAAACCAAATGGCAGGAGCCCAACACAGAGTTGAGGTTGGGTGACCAGTCGTTGGCTGCACATCACTAGTCACTGCTATCAGTGCCAGGGGGTGTGTTTGAGGAGTAGGCAACCCAAAATAAAGCTGTAGAGGAGCTGTGCGTGTGTCCTGCCCAGAGGGAGGGCTCCTGGCACCTCCTGCCTCTGCCACCGGCAGTGGGGTTTGACACGGCTCCTCCGCACTGAGGCAGTGACACGACAAGACTCCTAAGGACATTACTGATTAATTAAAGAATACAGCTGACAAACACAGAAGAAAAAATTGTCTTTAAAACTGCTGTCAGGTGGGTCCAGAGCAGAACGGGATATCAGAGTCACTTTGCATCTTAGGATGCAGAGCGGAGCGACG